ATATGAGACTCATGGTTGAGCATGGCATGAAACTGAACAAAACACGTAAGATCATGTAAGCCTATCTGCACTCACTCTTGAAAAGTCCATCCACGGGACTCGGACCGATCTGGTGGTCGGTTCCACGTGACCCCCGTTCGGAGGCGACCGAGTCGACCGAGTAGAGCTCTAAGTCCCTTCTTGTTCCTAGTAGCGATGCCAGGAGCCCCTAGTAACATCCTTGCTCCTAGTAGTAAGGCCAGGAGCCCCTACAGTAGTAACTTCTTGTCCTTCAATCGTTTTGAATCCAAGACCAGCAAACGAGGACCGAGGGCTTTCCGGCCGTTGCCATTGACCAATATTCACCAAACCGAGTGGTCCGGCTGCTTCGATGGTCAGACAAACCAGCACAATGTCGGAAGACAGCAAATGCAGGAGACCCTGGAGCCTTTAAGTGGGACATTCCCCCAGGCCATGCCACAGATTTTAGGGCTGAGACAGCCGCATTGGACCAGCCAATTGGTTGGTGAGAGCAACAGTGGATGCTTTATGACCTCCCTCCAGCACCCAAGCAAAAGTGGGTATGCTGCAGATCATTGAGGGCGGCTAAAAGGTCTACACGAAGAAGTGTCGCGTGAGTCCCACTGCGGCCATTGGTGCAAGCAATGTTCCTGAAAATCCATCCATGCAAAACACCAAAAGCATTGAACACTACTCTGCACTGACAGTGACTGAAGGGCTTCACATGCTCCAGCACTTGATGAGGATCCCATAAGGTTTCGTTTCCAACCTTCTGGGGCACCAGTCAGTACATGCTTGTAGGACGTTCCAAGGTTACACCAAATAATTCGTTTCGCGATATGTTTCGCAGTTTGGGACTGCCCGTTTGAGTTCCCAAGCCTCAGCTTCCAGAGCATCCCGCTTATTCACTTGCTCCAACAACTCGCCCGTGACCTGTCTTACTGGCGAGTGGGCTTCCTCCATCTCAGTGGTATGGCGCCTATGGCATTGTTCAGCCTTCCTACTTCGTGGCAACTTAATCAAAAGCATTCAAAAGCCCTCTGCAACCGCGGCAACTTCAGGAACCTCCTCCAGCTTCTGCTCTGCTGCAAGTCGTTGTCGGGCTAAAGCCTGGCAAAACTGTCGTGGGGAGAACATATTAAACACATCAAGATCTATCAAGATCTTATTTGAGTCATTTTGACTCTATTTGATTAATTATATGATACCTATGGGTGGTGTTCGGATCGGATTCATAGGATCGGAATCTAATTGGTCAGATCGGAATCGCAGGAATGACGGGCGCGTGCTAGGCAACACCATCCCGACCATCCCGACCGTCATCCTGACTGTTGTCACGCAGGTCTCATCCATCCCGACCATCCCGACCATCATCCTAATTGTCACGCAGGTCTCATCC